GTGTATCGCTGAAGTTCTTCGGAAAGAATTTTTACGGGAAATTAACAAACGAACAGAGACGTAACACTGCAATGCGTTTGATATCATTCGCAGGAACCAAATTTCCATCGACTTCTGTGCGTTTGGGTTGCTCAAACGAGTCCCCGGAAGTCCTCATCTGTGCATAGTTGATGGACTTTAGAAAGCATTTAAAGTGCTTATCTTAGCATATTGAACAAACGCTTCGTGCAATAGTCCACAAATAAGGCAATCAAAAATAACACCATTGGTAGCGAAAGAAGGAGCTGTAAGGCCTAAGCCTTCATCCTTGTATCCTTTCCACAGATAGTAAATACTACTGCATGCAACAATTGCAAAGTGTACTAGTTTAGTAACTGAAACTTCTGTTTTCCCACTTGATTAAAAAAAAGTAACATAAAACAACAAAAAACTTAAGAAACTATGACACTCGCCAATTTTAATTTGTTTAATCTTAGATGACCAAAAAAATAAAACTAAACAAGAATTAATTATCGGAATATTGTCGTAGGGAAATGGTTAAAGTGATATACAAGATATGTGAATATTTTGATGCTTAAAATTTCTGTAGCTTTGCATATTTTAGTACTTACTCTGGGCTTAACACCAAATATGACAAGTATTATAGTGTACGTCTACTGGAAGTATTTTAAAATTATGTGTTAACAAACGAGATTTTGATTGGTTGTGTTAAGAAATTATCGATCAGTTTGCCATTTAAAACAAATGCTAAGTTTATTAAAGGCTTCAGCTATTATTCTGATTTACCTAATTGTGATGCTCCATAAAACCTGTTAGAAAGGCCAGTTAGGTCTTGATCCATGCTGGACTTCGGTGACCCTTGACAGAAGTTACTCGATGGTAAGTAGTTCTGTGAATGTCGTAAAATACTATTCTTTTTATGTAATAATTTTAAACAAAACAACAGATTTTTGACAGTATGTAATAAACCCTGTCTTGGGTCCCCATCCATCGCAAGCAGAACATGACAGTTTTTTAAATGTCTGGATGGAGACAAATGAACGTTTTTTTTCGGGATGATTCGTGATTTACATAGAACAAAGTTCTTTACAATTTATTTTAAAACTGATTTTAAATTGATTGCAGTTGAAATAAAAGAAATTTGAGATTGTACTTATGCCAAATACAGATAAAATTTTAATTTTAGGACATACTGACTAGTCTATTCAAATCCTTTATTTATCACTATATATTTTGTAAGTATATAATAATGCTCAAGTGATTACTGTAAGAAATAGACAAATATGAAAGTTGCTTTTTAAATAGACGACAGCCTAGTGGATTGTTGGCTTCGTTGTTTATCACCAAGAATGCGGAACATGGAAGGGCTAATCCATAAGAACATGAGACCGTGTTTATGTTTTGTGGGTCTCTAGGCCTCACTCCCCACCTCCAAGGAAGAAAACTCGTTTTTCTCATGATTAGTAAATCACTTGAGTAAATCGTGACTGTCACAATGATTTGGTAGCGATTTGAGAATCTGTGAATTAAATTTCGATAAACACGTGTTAGTGAAATGTTTGTTTGTTTGAAGTTAAGAACAAAGCTACACAATGGGTTATCTGTGCTGTGCCCACCACGGGTATCGAAACCCGGTTTCTAGCGTATAAGTCCGCAGACATACCGCTGTGCCACTGGAGGTCGTTAGTGAAATGATACAAACCGTACAGAAATAAAAATGAAAGGATATGTAATCGTGTACTTATGTCTTATTAATTATATTTGTATACATAATTTTGACTTTTGTTAAGTACATTTGTCGCATAAAGTGTCATTTAGGTTGAAAATATCAACTACCTCATTTTGTAGTTATGGGTGCGCTACAAGAGTGACAGTCAACCACTAGCCCTTCAGACGAAAGTTGGCGGTGAATGCTTTTGACTAGATGCCTTCCTTCTAGGAGCGGCATGGCCAGGTGGTTAGAATGCTTGATTCGCAATCTTAGGGTCGCAGGTTCGAATCCCCGTCCCACCAAACATACTCGCCCTTTCATGTGACAGTCAGACTCAATATTCGTTGGTAAAGGAATATCTCAAGAGTTGGCGATGGGTGGTGATGACTAGCTGCCTCCCCTCTAGTCTTTCACTGCTAAATTAGGGACGGCTAGCGCAGATACCCCTCGTGTAGCTTTACGCAAAATTCAAAACAAGCCAAACCTTCTAGTCCAGCTGTTCTTCAACTTTTTTGTTCGCGGACCATAGAATTGCTGCCTAATCTGTTACTTCTAAATTTGCGGCGGCTATGAGCAAATACTCCGTGTGTTGTTTTGTTCAAAAATTCTAAACCAAAAAACGGAAAACTATTTAAGATAACATTAATAGCAATAAATTATATATATGTGTATGTGTATTTGTGTGTATTGTGAAAACGGCAATATAGATATCCTATTCATTCTGTCATACTATATACCTATCATTTAAAAGTTGAAACTTAATCATGTACTTATTCTGATTAAAGTGTCATAAATATTCTTTTGTAATACAAAAAGTGATTACGTTATATAATAACGATTTTGGAGCGTTAACCATGACAATACAGTCTATGTCACCGCATCCAGTCATGCTATGTCTAACGACTGCACATCTTGATAATATCCCTGTACCGTAATTTACATTGCAAAAGGCTCCGTCGTAAAGCTATCGTATTCGAAACACACTACTCTTACTTGAATACTTTCCATAATCCATCTGGTATTTGAGGACGACTATTTCCCAGTACCTGTTTCAACAGTCTGATCGCACAGATATCTATATGCACTGTATCCAGCGAATTGACTGGTATCCTATGTTGTGATTGAACTGATATGTCGTGGATGCAAGTTGTGTACAGGTAACTTGAGTCGCTTTTTCAAATGGAGACCTTTCTTGATTATGTTGCGTACTGTTACTTGAGACATGTGAACGGCTTTTGCCACTGACCGTTGTAGATTCTCACCTGTTACAAGACGCTGCACATTGCTTATCACGGCTGGGGCACGACTTGTTGCAGGTTTCTTTCTGAATGGTCCTGATGCCCCAAGTTAATCCTTGTTCTTTTGTTTTACAATGCTATTAAGTAAAAATGACATTCCGTCTTCGAAATTATAAATCCACTATCTGAACACATCTTTACGATATGAGTGTATAAATATTTTAATTCCCAAAAGATGTCAGTTTTTGGTGGTATCAAACTAACTACAAAATGTCAAGTAATGTCAAAATATAGTTCTAATACGTTCCTCCGCGTCTTTATATCGGCTATGGTAATCACATGGCTAGCTGATTTGCATATTCATAATCGTTTTAGTATAACGTACTCAACCCTCTGTAAAAGTGTGTATAATAACAAAAAACTTAAAAGATCCCCCGTTTTATTACATTTATAGTTTTACCCCCCCCCCCCCCACCCTCCCAGTGGCACAGCAGTAAGTCTGCGGACTTGCAACGCTAGAAATTTTAAATTCGCCAAGAAAATTATTAACGAGACTTTACCCATAATTCAAAATGTATATTTTTTATATCATTTAAACTTGAAAATGAATTTTCTTGCTAGTTGCTATATTTCGCTTAGATTATTGTAGCTCATAAATTTACAAAATGTCTGTTTCAAATAACACAACTAGGGGCTGAGTATACTCTTACAAAATAAACTGAACAAGTTTTTGTTAATAAACTATGCCTCCCCCTCCACACACACACACACTAAAATAAACAAATAAGGCTCTGTAATGATGTATTTTAAGTTCTTACTATTACTCCTGAAACAGTGAAAAATATCGCCATTGAGAAATACCAGACAGTGTATCCTTTTGGAAATTTGACGTACAGATGCTCATTGTGACCCAACACCTGGCTGATCTGTAAACATAATAAAAAAAATAATAATAAGTAGGCAAACAACAATTCATAACCATAATGAAGTGATTTACTACATGTTTTGACTTGTCTCAAGAATACAATTTTTGGTTTGTTTGTAGTTCTTTATACACAAAGCCATACAATGGGCTATCTGTTCTCTGCCCACCACGGGTATCGTGTTGTAAATCCGCACACATACCACTGTACCACTGGAGGGTCTGAAGAAGACAGACCAATGTACAATTGAAACATATAGTATGTAGCACCATAAATAAATCACTTCATTGTACTTATGAATAGTTGTCTGCCTATTTATTATTATATTAGCCTAATGTGTTTTATTACTCAAGTATAATAAATAAATGAATCTATTATTCATTAATACATGATAACAGTGTCTATACCATTACATTCGCTTAAAATGACAGCTTATGAAACTTTATATGGATTAGTCAAAATTAGGCTAATATCGTCAAAGCACTGTATTTTTTACAAACTAGAGATTCATGACAACTTTTTCAATTGATAAGACGCTCTAGAAACAACAAAGTCAATCATTAATAAGTATTTTTCCTGTCTATCTTGAATCTATTACAAGGTGAATGTAACGTTAGAACTAAGTAAGTTGAGAAAAAAACTCTTCCAGGAATCTGGCGTGGTGCAAAGAAGAAGAAGAGAAAAAAGAAGTTTTATTCACAGTTTACAAGTTACATGTCCTTCTCACCCTCAGTCTTGTAAGGCACTTTATTTATACGCTGTCAGTCCACGTTCTTCTACCAAATTTGGAATTGACTACGGATTTTAAGGTTATATTAAAATAAGCATTTCGAAACAAGGTTTGTGAGTTTATTTCTTACTTCCGGATACTTGTAAACATATAGTTTGCAGGAGGATTTGTGATTAACTTGCTTACTACTTTATATTGTCTTATATAAGCCACTAACCTTGGATCTGTGAACGTCTCCATTATCAGTTTCTCCTACTCCTAATATTTTTCTTGTCTTCAGTCGACTTAGAAGATCACCACTGCTGTGTTTCCTTCTTACAGATACAAACAATACATATACACACATATATATGTATATATATATATATATATACTTAATTTGCTTTAGTTTAAAAACAACACAACTTAATTATGTTATTAAAAACACTGGTCCTAATATTCTCAACAGTCACTATATTTAATCTTGTTTCGTTTAAGCGTGTTGATTTTGGTTTTGCCTGGCATGGCCTGATGGTTAAGGAGCTCGACTCGCAATCTCAGGATCGCGGATTCGAATCCCCGTCATCGAGTATGTTCGCCCTTTCAGTTTAACTGTGAGAGCGTTACAATGTTTAAGCTCAATCCCACTATTCGTTTGTAAAAGAGTAGCCCAAGAGTTGGTGGTGGCTAGTGTTGACTAGCTGTCTTTCCTCTACTCTATCACTGATAAATTAGAGACGAATATTGCAGATAGCCCTCATGTAGCTTTGCGTGAAATTCAAAACAAACCAAACAAACAATTAAATTCGTGTTTTAGAATATATTGTAAGCGAAAATGTGTCTTCATTGCCGTAGCTGAAAATATACTAAAATTTCAGGACATAAATATCGAACCTTTATCAGCCAGTTGTCAGTTCGACGCTGCAGTTACTAGCAACATATGTAGAAGTAACCGGTGGTTAGAACCAATATATAGCACAGGTATTTAAAAAAGTAAAAGATACTTATAATATCTCGTATAAGAAACTTAAAAACCCGAAAATACTTAAGGTAGGATTTAAAGGTTACAAAAAACGCTTAAGATGTATATAAAAAAATGTGAATTTGTACATATAGTTTTTAGAAGTATGAGAAATTGAATTTTTGCAAATACATATGAGAAATTCGCTTAATCAATGTGTCCGTCAAGTGAACTCCTCCAGTAGCACAGCGGCATCTGCGGACTTACAACGAAGAAACCGGGTTTCGATACCTGTGGTGGGCAGAGCACAGATAGCCCTTTATGTAGCTTTGTGCTTAACTACAAATAAACCGTCAAGTGGAAATGAAATCTATTCACTCGAGATTATTTGTAAATGTCATTTTTTCTCTCTCTCTATATATATACGTGTGTGTGTGTGCGCGCGCGCGCGCGTTTGCAAAACATAGAAGAAATGTTATGCGTGAAAACTTGTCCCCAGTTGGCTCAGTGGTAAATTTGAGGGCTTATGACGCTAAATTTTTTGGGTTCGATCCCCACATTGAGCACATCCACAGATAGCCCATTTTGGAGCTTTGAGCTTAACAAACAATTCATATGCTATAAATAGAATAGGACAACACTTCAAAATTGTGGAATAAGTATGTTTCACATACGTCAGTATAAAAGATCAAATTATACTGAATATGAAAATAATAATTAATGTATTATTACCTCCAAAAATCACTTCAATCAGACAAACTCGCAAAACGTATGTAGCTTCATACATATTTACAAAAACTAGTTGAAGAACGTGAATTATAACTGTAAGATAGTTTCATGTGTGTGTAAAATCATTATTTCAACAGTTAAGCAAATATCAACACCAAAAGGAAGGACTGTATTAAAAACAGTTACACCAAACTTATTGGTGGAGATTGGGAGTGATATTAGTTTAGATGACTTGGTTGGGTTTTTATACGGATTTCCTGTTCAGCTAAAGATACCTGAGAAATGGCGTTGCCCGAAACGTTATATCTACAATACTAAATTTATATATAATAACACTATGTTTTCTTCGATGGTTTAACCTGCAACGTACTTCTCCAATTAATTACAGATTTTACTACTATAAGGGGGGCTGAAATGCCAACGTCAGAGGGTAAGATTCCCTTACCTATCCACAATGGTAGGGCCTTATTTTCGTTTTTTTTTCCTTGAGAGCAGTCATCTTCCTAAAAACTGTCTTACTTGTTTTATTATTTTTCTTCTTTCTTTAACCTTTGAGAATATCGAACGAAGGTTAAGACTGATATAGAGTGTATCCCCACCGCTATGTGGGTCCTACTTACCTCCAAAAGCCAGGGCACATCTTATATCCCACATTATAGTCTGTGCCCTGGTGATTTTGTTAATTTATGCAGCGTTTTTGTTGTATTTTCCGTTAGTTGTTAACGCTTGTTTTGATAATTTATATATATATATATACATACACACACATAAATAATATATATATATATATACATAAAGAAAAGTACAAGTTTACCGATAAAATTTCAACAATGTAGCATACTAAATGTAATAGTGTTTCACATTTCCAATGTTGACGTTCTGCAGTCACTCGTCTATGCAATATACAGAAAGATTTTGTCCATATTGGGGCGAACCAATTTGTTTGCCTGTTATCTTAGTATTAAACTAGCAGGAACCTGTGAAATCAAACACCGTCAAATCCATAACATGCACATGCAAGAAAGTTTCCTTTGCAGAATCTCACCTATGAACATTTCACGAAGGAGTAATTATATTTCTAGAGTATTAATAGAGGATAAAAATATTCACTAAACTGATTTATGCTAGTGTTACTTTCACATGGTGATGTGTGAAAATAAACTGATCACAATTATGTTTTACCTTGTGCCGTGGTAACTTTCTTTAACGTTGTACAGTGAAACTCGTGTGCAACAAAGTAGTTAAAACATAAGCTGGATATCGTAGTATCATCTGTGGTAGTTTGTGTTGTTAAAAAGTGCTTTACTAGGAATTGTTATTGGGTTAACCCTAACTATTTGTGGTAGTTTGAGTTGTTAAAAACTGCCTTACTAGAAATTGTTAATGGGTTAACCCTAACCATCTGCGGTAGTTTGAGTTCTTAAAAACCCACCTAGCGTGCGAGAGTTCTCGGGATCGAACCCACCCGCGGTTAATACAGAATAGGATTACTACTCGGCTATCTTTCAAACACAAGCCCCTATATTACTTAAAGAAAGGAATCTTAGCTAAAATATTATACAACGAAATAACAGCATCAGGAAGAAATCTAAATGTATTTTCCATATCATAACATCCAGTATATTAAATAAGCAGAACATTCCTATGAATGTGACAAACAAAAAAGTGCAAGCTATTATGTAGACCTAACACAATTCCAGTTGTTTGTTAACGTGACTTAGCTTATCGAATATTATAGTGGTATTTAACAAGTAGAACATCCTCACGTTAAGAATTCCGTCCACTTTATAAGGACGATAACTACACAAGATATAGTGAACAGCTTTGATATTTCCAACATACTTACTAACGCACCAGCCCATTACATTATACAAACCTTCGGCTAAAACTTGAAAATTATATAACTTAAGGGCGCACCTAATCGACAGTCACTACAATAATAGAACTTACAGCATTCTGTATAAACACAACTTAACTTTCAACATGAAGGTAAGCATTATCAAAAACAAGAAGGCCTGGCCATGGAGCACCCCTATCGTCAGCACTCAGCAACCTTGACGTGGAACATTTTGAAGTTAATGGCTACTCTAATTTCCAGGATCTGGATCAGATATGTTGACGATACATTCATAATATGGCCATAGACAACAGACAAGATTCATGAACCACCTGAACAGACAACATAACGCAATACAATTCACGACATAAACAGAAAAAGATAATAACATTCACTCCTTGACGTGATGGTTACTTAAACACATAACTCATACAGCACAGGAGTTTACAGGAAACTCACAGATACGGGTAAATACCTCAGTTATATATCAAATGAATGAACAAGAGTTTTAATACAGATGAAGCTAAGATGGAAGAAAACGCATCACTACAATGCTCCTTGACAATGTATATCCAGAACACTCGATAAAAAAAACTAAGGAATATAAATACTAAAACTAAACAAGAAGAATATTATAGGCAAACAGCCATATTCTCTAATATCAAATACCTCTTTGAAAACATACAGAAGATATGTAAACAAAATATATTCAGAACGTTATTCAGAAACCACAATACAATACGGTCATAGTTAATACACCTCAATCCATTTAAAGATCAAATGGAGAAAAATGATAGTGTTGCATCAGCGAAGTCACGTGACTAGTGTCATGCCACGTTTCTAGAACTATCCTGTACCTTGGCGAATGCTCTAGATATAGGGTA